TTCCGTATATCATCAGTTTGGGATGCGCAGGTACTAAGGGGCAGGGAAATCAGGAAAAGGACGGGAATAAGGCCGCATTAAGGTTCCACGCCCGTCCCTTTAAACTCTGTCTAAAAATAAAAAAGGCCATTTGAGAAAAAAAAACAAAGAAAAATTTATCCTTTTGACATATAGTCCATTTATGAAACGCTAGACTTACGTTCACTCTTCAGAGCCTGACTGAGAGGCACCTTTGAAGTCTAACAACCTCCTAAGGGCCCAGAACAAACCGGGAAGGTTGCAGGGGGGTCATTCCCAAATTTGTGCAGTTGCCAAATGGGAAGCTACGCGTGAAACTGGGTGGGAGGGAGACGTCGGGAGCTGGAGAACGATATCGCGCTTTAATCTGCGATTAGCCTCCTGGCTGCCATATCGCAGCCACGTCGGTTCCAGAACATTGCAAATTCAGTGCTAACTAGCCATTTATCAACAGCGCTTAAATTTTCATGAAGGATTATGGGAAATTTGGCTAGGTTAACCCGCGATGCACAACACCAGCATTAATTACGGCACTCATGAAATCTTTCTGTAAATATGTTTATCAAGATTTATGAATGCTAAGTAAGCCATTAAATTTTATGGGTGTCTAATAATGTTAATGTCATGGCAAATATTTACGAAGCTTTAGCAACAGGTGGGAGAGATTCATAAATATTTGAATGAGATACACGGGGCCTCCTGTTCTGGCTAGAAAAAGGCCTCCGGGCAGAGAGAGGGCGTACGGCGCAGGGTGTTGTATGTAAATATGCTTATTTAGGCCAGACCGGGAGGGACCAGTTCAACAAGTGCAGCCCTGGGATCGGCAACAACAAAAATTGCGTTCTTTTTTCTTCTCAAATACCGATGGGTTTTGGAGACCTTCGAAACGAACAGGTCAATTTGAACTTTGACTCGCAGCAGGTTTTGACTCGCATATGACTCATATTTCACTGAAATGTGCATTTGAGATGGTCCATGCCGACGGGGCCTTAGCTGAGGAGGGCCGTGCTTTAAATACCTCCGGAGGATAAGTGGAGGAATGCGGCACGTCCCGAATGGGGGCGACTGTCATCTCCTCGGGGCGCTACGATACAGCTGCGCGCACACACACACACACCCGCCCCCCAAGATTTTCAGCCCCGCTCGCTGCCGTCTTCATACACAAACAGTAAGGCCATCCGCTGTCGCTCATTAGACGTTGGGGGGCTGCATCTGGCTTACGGAATTCCTCAGATTAGCCGCAGTCACGTGACAGCACTCCACCAACCGCAGAACTCTAGCCGTCCGCTTTTCTGGGATTGCGAAACATAGGAGTCCATTAACTTCCTTTTCACAGCATGAGAAATATGCCTTCGGGCAGACGGATGATCCTGCAGAATCCATTTCCCTCTTTGCAAGGATTCATGTCAAATTTGATTCAGAAAGGAAAATACACAGGAAGAAATTATTTCGACTAAACTTCCATCCATCCAACCATCCAACCATCCATTCATCCTCCAGTAGCTTATCTAGTTCAGGGTCAGGGGTCATATTATCTGTCATAATATTTTGTAGGGGATTAAACAATTATTTATCCAAAATATAGAGGCTTTGCTTTAAAAATTAGGTGATCCTTTTATTTTTTTACTACATGACATAGCAGTGACCTTCCCAGGACCTGTTGGTCAACCTTACCCAGATCAGGTCTGATTCAGCCATTCCTAAATGCTACGCGCCTCCTTCTCCTCTAATCCTCTTGTAGATACAGCAGCATATTTATGAAGTTAGTCAAGCTGCATTACCCTCTCTCTGCTAAGCATCAGTGCATGGATGGATACCCTGGAGTCCCCCAAAGAACTTTCCGGTATTAACCACAAGGCACCGATTGGCCATCTAAGCCCCACGGCTACAAACTGGCCCCAAACCATGATGCTCCCATCATCCAACTTCTCTTTGGGATAAAAATCCTTTGTTGGGACCCAGTGTCCACTTCTGTCAAATGTAACATTAATAATTTATGTAAAACTATGCATTTTGAATTTATGTACCCACAGAACATATTCTCTCCAAAAGCATCCCGAATCATTGAGGAAGTCTTCAGCAAATGTCGTACAGGAAGTGATGTCGTTTTAGGACAGCACTGGACAGCATCCCAGTGCAGCATTTTCTTATAAAGTGGCTCGTGAACACTGGCATTAAGTTGCTGAAGTACCGGTAAATGGAACGGATTATCACCATACTGTTCCCGACCAAGACTGATAACCAAAAAATTTTGGATCCAAAACAAATCAGAATATTTAATGTTGTGTCGTCTGTTTAATCAACTCATCTTTATATTCTATCAGGACTGACAAAGATCAGGTCATATTTTAGGTTAAAATAATAGAAGCATACCGGTAGCTTACAAGTGGATTTATAAACTGCCTCTGTCCACCATGAAGGACATAAAACTGTAAGCTCAGGCCAGACAGCCTCCTACCAGGCACTAGCTTCAAAATATCACCTGGGAAAATAAACACACTGGCAATAAGGGGGCAGTGGTGGAGTAATGGTTGGGGAAGCACACTGGTAATTACTTGAAAGATTGCTGGATGGATTGCTGATTCAAATCCGCAACCAGGAAGGTACCACTGAGGTACTCTGAGCAAAGTACCACCCCAAAGCACAGCTCCCCGGGTGCTGAATTAGCTGCCCCCTGCTATGTCACAATGTCACAAATGGGTTACAGGCAAAGGACACAATGCATTGTTGTGCACTGTGTCAACAATGACTAATCACTTCACTTTAAAAACAATAAATGAAAAAATTGAAGCATCAATGATCTTTTCTTTTACTTTAGAAATTAACTACAGATGCAATCAACCGGTGATGCATTGACACATTGGGGCTGTCAAAAATGATTCATGAGGACAACGGGACGGCATTGGGAGGTGAATCTCAACGCATGACTACACATAAAATCTCGCACACCTGCAACGGGTTAGCCGCGCTCGTGCCGTGCTCGGCGGGGGGGGGGGGTTCTTTGAAAGGCTGAGAGCGAGGCACCACACTGGGATCCAGTCTGGAACCTTCCAGAATGAGCAGAAAAGAATAAGAGCAAGAGAATCTAGAGAAACATCGGAGTGGAAGAGTCTCATCGCTGTTAGCCTCTTGCCACAACCAATATGGGCCATTTGTATCTCCACCCACATACTATAAACTACACATAAGAAACTGTCAATTACACATTAGGAGCAGGTTCAGTTCACAGGAAACTTCTCTCAAACCTTAAACTTTACTTAATGCCCCATATTAATGCTCCTAAGCAAATAAATGCACAAATAGTCATAATGTGTTAAATTCTGACTTGGAACTAAACTCCCATGAATGTTCACGCCCATTTTTGCCTCACCTCCGAGATCATTGGCTGATTCATCCCCTTCCCTCGTGCAATAACACGCCCTCCCACTCACCCTGAGTACCTTTTGATTACGTGGCTACCCGCACACCTGATGATCGCGTGCAGTTTGTCTATCAGGTAACATCGGTTCTCCTTAAAGGTGCTGCTTCAAATCCAAAGGGAACGGGGCAAAGACCTCTTTATATTTATATCATAAATATATACGGAATACTGACGTTTCCTTAACGCTAGTAGCTAGTGTATTCATCTGATAGATTTTCTATGACCAGAGAATGACAGTAAACCATCCCAGGAAACAGTTAGGGATACCCTAGACAGGATGTTGGTGCATCTCAGGACCCAAAAATAAGTACACGTACTTTCCTGACCTTATCTCTATTCAAACGGATCTGACGCTTCTCTGACATCTCCGGAGAAATTTACCACCGACAATCCTGCTCCTTGAACTAACCAGCTTTGAGGACAAAGCTTAAACTCCTAGTCCACGCGTGCTGGGGACCATGAAAACATCCCAAGGAAAAACCCTCACAAAGCACACGGAACAATGGGGACAGGCAAGAAAAGAACTTCAGTTCAACTAAAAATTAATTACCAAAAACAGCAGCAATGTTTGTAAATGTTTAAGAGAGTTATAAATATTCCAGCTAGACTATTGACAGAATGACGAATTTACAGCCTAATTCTATACATCATTATGGGTATCGCTAGAGAACTGGCGTCCAAACGTGTCCCCCACGCCACGCATGCCCACCGGCTCCCCCCATCCCATCCCATCCCCTCCCCTGCCCTGCCAAACAGCCACAACGGGGGTCATCGCCGGCCCCTCGGGATCTGCCCTGCCCTGCTTCCGCCCAGCATAGCATTCCACGCATCATCCAGGGGAAGGGGGTTGACATGTCATGGAAAAACAAAAGCAGAGGGAGGAAAGGGAAGGAGAGGAAAGGAAACGGCGTGTGGATGCGAAGTGGCCGGCATCCGACATGCTCCGGGAGACCCAAAGCGGGCAAAATCACCGGGCTCGGAGTGGGACCTCCTCCGAAAACAAATCTGCTCCTCCTTTGACAAATTAACACGCTCTGCCTGCACTAACATCATTGTACTCGTACGTATTTCAAAGACAAAATAATTTTTCTCCCCCAAAGAAGAGCAAACGGTGCAGCTTTGGGCACAAAGTTCAGCGTTACTTCAAGTACTTATTTACCCCCCCAACGCAGATGGTCAATGAGGGACTAAGCATCCATCAAATCCGCGGGGATTCCCTCGTCGCACTGGCCCGATCCCCCTTCCCTGTGTAACACGGAGCTTGAATATCAATCTAAACCGATAAAAGGCAAAAGGAAGACAAACTTCAATCACCGCAAAAACAATAAATTATAAGAAACGCGGTTATGCATTAAAAAGTTCGGTTTGATGTATTGAACTACTAAAACAGTGATATATTGAGCAGCAGTTGTACAATGCAGCTCTGTGTTGTGGTTTCTGTTATCTATGAGTGCATTGATTTATTTGGATCAAAATGAAAAACTTTTTAACATGTAGTAAGTAAGCAGCCGAAGAAGTGAAGCGTTTACCAGTCGCGTATGGAAAATTTAGTTGAACTTACGGATTTTGACCTTCTTGGGATCCTGCGAGCGGACTGTGTTCTTTAACGTTTCCAGGCGCAGACGCAGCTGGCCGGACCTCCGCGCCACATGCCACACTTCGGTCTCGATCTCCAGGAAGATGCCGCCGGCGTGCCGCGACAGGTCGGAGAGCTGGTGTAGCACGCCGATGAGTGCGTGACAGCACACCTCCTCCAGACTCGTAAACAGCACCGGCTTCTGGATTTGGGGGTGACCCGTCGCCCCGGCCGGGCTGCCGTTTTCCAGGTCGCTCCGCACCGGAGACTTGGTATCCTTCTTGTTCAACCTGCACAGCAGGCGCGGAGCCACTGTCCTTTGGTGGAAAGGCATTTTCTACAAATACCACAGGAAAAAGTAGCTAAGGCAAAATAATCTTTTAAAGTGAAAATGAGTGTTTCATTACTTTAAAAAGTTGCGGATTCGCAGAAAATAAAGATGCCGCCATTGTGCGTGGAAGATGCGCGGACGGGTGCTTCCCAGCTCCGGTCGAATTCAGCCTACTGACAGTAAAAGTGCCGGTGGAAAAGTGCGGGCGGTGTGCGGAAAACCTGGAGCGCATATACCGCCACCTGTGGCCGGGATCCGGAGTCGGAATCCCTGGTTACCTGACCCCAGCGGCACTCCTCCAAGGAAAACACGTACCGGAATATCACATGTACTCACGTTTTGTTATTAAAATATCTGGAAAGGACCGGATCGAGTACTGGGAAGTTATAGGCCTACACAAACGTGCTTTACAGATTATCTCATTACATCTTTATTACTGATTACAGGTGAAATATGCATCACTCGCTTTTAAATGATTTTCTAAGTAGCCTAACGATGAGAAATGTAAAAGCCGGCAGACACCGCAACGCCTCTTCTTGACGGGCCACTTCCCACACGCAGCCATAACACACCAGAACGCATCCTATCGCTGCGGATATCTGTTTTCTAATTGCACATCTTTGATTTATTATGGTTTCATTAGGAGCCAAGCAGGAGGCACCTATTGTAATCGTTAGATATTTTTTTAGCATTATTATTATTATACTTTCTGACATGGGAGCCTAGGGCAGCCCATAAATTCGCTTAGTAGTTTTTTTTTTAGTTGGCATATTGATAGAGGACAGTCCAGTGTATTCAGTCGCCAAATCTTGGATCAATCTATCCATCCCTATAGCGCCACCATTAGGCCAGATATAAGGTACATTTTTGCTTGTAACTTTTGAGCCGTCAATTTTGAGGAAGCCAAACAATAATGGTATAATTCCACCACTAGGGGGACGCTGCAATAAGCAAAAATGCGTTTTGGCTAATAATTTTATCGATTTGCCTTTAAAAATATATATCTTGCGTCTTCTAATACCGTGGGATGTCCCCAGGCTGATCCATGGAAATTTTCATGTCCTCCTAATTGATGCGGCCGCCATATTGGATTTTATTGAAAATTTAAGAATTTTCCACAGGCCACAAATTTTGACCAATCTTCACCAAATTTGTCAGTGATGATCGTCATACCAAGCCTTAGGGGTATCAAAGACTTTTTTGATATTCAAAGCCGTTTGTGTGTCATTGCCAAACGAAACTGGCGTCAAAGGCTTCAGTCAGGATGTGTCACCATATGAGGACCAAATTTCCTGTCATTTGACCCCTGGGGGGTGCTGTAATAAGCAAAAACATGTTTTTCCTGATACATTTTGATGTATTGGCTTTATATAAGTGGTTGTTACTTACGACTGGGGATTGTCAAGTCAAATCAAGTCATTTTATTTATATAGCACTGTAACCAGTGACTGACCAAAGTGCTTTACAATAATAAAAACATGCATAAAAAGAGAGGGGAAAATGCAAATTACATAAAACATAAATGAAATAAAGTAAAATGTAAAATATAATAAAACAGGCATTACAATCACAAAAATTGCATCAAAACATTTGTCGAAAATGCTTCAGCAAATAAATGAGTTTTTAGCCTTGACTTAAAACATTTGGTGGTGGGGGCAGATCGGACAGGTTGTTCCACAACTTGGGCCCGGCCAGGGAGAAAGCACAGTCGCCTTTCCTCCTCAAACAGCCGGTTGGTACAGAGAGCAGCAGCTGATCACATGACCTCAGGACTCTCGGTGGACAGTACGGATGTATGAGGTGACTGATATAAGCTGGTGCTCCCCCATTCAACACTTTAAAAACAAACAGTAACATTTTAAAATCTACTCTAAGTTTCACCAGCAACCAGTGTAATGATGGTGAAATCAGAGTGATGTGGCATGGTTTTTTGTATTGGGTCAGAACGGGCGGCGGCAGCATTTTGCTCATTGTCAAGATCTGTCTCTGCCAGTCCCATCATCTCCCTGCTTTGCCAGCGATTGTCACTGGCCGTCCCATGTGCTCCTAATGGTTCCCAAACCAGTGTCTCAATTACTCACAGCAGTCTCCCATTTATAACTCATTACCTGTGTATATAGGTGCCTGCCTGTGCTGTTACCCCATTAGTCATTGTTACTGTTGTCTTGTCATTCCCACTTTTGGTTCACTACCATATACTATCCTCACCTAAATTCTATTGACACTCTTGCATTTTCTGCTTATTTACTAACTTCTCTCTCAGATGTTACTAATCTATCCTATCCTTCTGAGATTCTCTCTCCCTATATACCCTGGTTATGTCTAATGCTCTTGGTGTCCACGCTCCCATTAAGCACTGGTCTGTCCCCTTCTCCCAGTCCTCCCTACCTATACCCCGGCTTTGTTTCATGCTCTTGGTGTCCATGTTCCCAATAAGCACTGGTCTGTCCCCTTCTCCCAGTCCTCTTACTGGATTACTCCGGACCTTCGAGCCCAGAAGGCAACTGCTAGAGTCTTATTTTCACACATCTCCCACCCCCTCTATAAACTTCACTGGCTACCTGTCTCTTTCCATATACAGTATAAAGCCCTTCTGATCACTTTAAAGGCCGGACATGATCTCGCTCCACAGTATATTGCAGAGATCCTCCTCCTTCCTACACCTGCCCATTCCCTCAGGTCTACAGACACTGGTCTTCCAGCGCTGGCTTGCCTGCCCTGTCTTCTGTGGGTGATAGGGCCGACCGTTCCTTTTTATCTCCAACACTTTGGAACTCACAATCACAAGGCTTCCTTTTTAGGCAGAATTTAAAAACATCTCTCTCCGCTGTGATTCACTTCCTGATTCTGTTGTAGTTTTGTTTTTTGTTTGTTTCATTCAGTGTTAACTTATGGTTCAGATGTTCATATGTTCTTGTATTTCCTCTTTCTGAATTCCTTTCCATGGCATTTGTGCCATTGTAATATGCTTGGCCCCATTGTATACACTTGCATGGTCTGTAAGGCACTATATGTATGTTGCTGTTGTATGCACAAGAAATTTCCCCGGGATCAATAAAGTGTATGTAATGTAATCTAAGTATGTCACAAAATGTTTATCATTCAGAACATTAACAAAAACAAATTTCAACATAGAGTATTGAAAGATTGAGAGAGTCGATCAAATTTTACAAAAGTAAACGTTTAACTAGAAAATAACTGTCATCGCAGGCATAACATATAATATATGAAGTTAGAAATCGAGTAATTTCTGTTTCAATACAACCAAGTCGACATGAAACGTAAATACGGTGCTTAGCTCCCTCTAGTGATCACTGTCGTACAGTACATTGTTACGTGGGGAGGACAGTCCATTCACTGATTGCGAGTAGCAGTGGGGGCGGAGGGGCATCCCAATGCAAAAGCAAGGGGGACTCCCCACTCTGGCCGTTAAATTTTACCGAAGGCCGCTTTAATGACACGATTACGCAAAATTTGCAGCAATTTCCCGAGAATCCCCTTCCCGGGCCGGCCTGCCGTGAGGGCCCTGCCCCGCCCCTGCAGACGCACCCTCCGACTGCCGGTTTCTGTAATTACGGGGCTACAAATTAGTCATTGTTTCGAATGATTCATACAGGATTTTATTATAAATTCACTTAAAATAGATTTTTATTTGCTCAGTTCAACGTTGCCTCCATTTTAATACGCTGTATCATGGGCGTAAATTATGGGGGGTTATAACCCCCCCAATAACCAAAACCAGCCAATACAATGAGAGGAGACAACCCCACCCGCCAGTACTCTACCCAAAGTTATGCCCTTGTGCATATTGTTTAGCTGGATTTCTAATTTAATTCTAATTTTTTTAAAACAGTGATGTACCCAGATATATATTTTTAAACGGATAAAATAATAGATAACATGTTCGAGGGGTAGGCGCTCAAACGGTGGGGGGGGGAGGGGAGTAGACCAGTACTCCCGTCTGGGGGGAGGTGTTGGCGTTATCGTTAGTCGTTGAAAAAGGGTAATAGAACCAGTAGTAAGTGTACAGGTGTGTTTTTATAGTTTATAAATATGGCAACTTTCTTTCCAGAGACAATGAGCTCTATCAAACCCTTAAGGAGAACTGGATGGAAAAACTGGAGAAACGGGTTCAGCGGGAGCTCAAACTAGCATGGGCACCATCAATAGAGAATCATGTGAAATTGCTTCTGCGATAGATGTGCATGACAGAGCTACGAAAATGACCGTGATGAAGCACAAAAGGTGTAGCAGGGTGCAGCTCCACGTCCATCTTGGAGGTTACGCGGGAGTCAGCTCCCGTTTCCGCAGGGCACTAAACTGCTGGATCCCACATCCTCTCGTGCCTCTATGGCGACACCCACTGTTCGGACGGCGGAATGACGGGGCTGCCGGTGAAAAGGTCAAAGGGCACGTTAAGTCATGTGAGCAAAGCCACGCCCGAGTTTACAATGAAAACTGGGAGAGGGAGGCCTGTGACAGTATTAATTCACCATTCCATACCGTACAGAAAAGCAGCTGGTGATGACTCACCTCCGTCTTGTAGGCCAACAAAGCAGTGAAAACATGAGCCTTTCAACACCTTCCAGGCCAAAGAGACCAGTAATAATAATTAGGTATGTGGAACACCTTGACATTTACAACCATTTATCATAAGCTTTTTACATTCATCACATGAGCACTCGGGTGTTGTGAACAAAGTGTGTCATTACCACCAATCTGGAGGTCAAATGCCGCTCCTGGGCCTCTTAATGGTTTTGACAAAGCTCTGTAAAGCAGGTTAATCTTTAAACCAGAACTAAATCCAAATAAGACTAACCCAGTTTTCAAATCTGGCAGGTTAATATTCTGGAGAAGGTTCCTGGGGGTAACAGAGACACTATAAAAAAGATAGCATGTCACATTCGCTCATTAATGATTTTCCTCCAAAGTGTTTAATTAGGTCAGGCTTAATTACGAGATCAAACATATTTGCTTCTTATCAAAAAGTTAGAGTCCAGTCCAGTGTTACAGGTAGACAGAAGTTTAATTAAAGATTAAAATACACACCCCACAGATTTACACCCCAACAAACCAAAATCCTTCTTTGCCCATTGTAACATTTGAAACCTACAGTTTGCATATAGAGCCCAGTCTGTTGGTGATACGGTCCTGGTTATAGACGCCCATCCCACACCACCTGGCATCAACGTTAACAGTGACAGGGGGCGATGTGCAGTAAACGGACGCCTTTCCTACACTGTAAAGACATGGCAACCTGGGAGGTCCACGGCAACTGTGACTGAAGTATCACATACAAACCAGTGCAAAAATTACGGCAAAAAGCGCGGATATTCCGGTAGCACGTAGCTAGAAGTTCACCCAGGAAGCACACGGCGCAGGTTAAAAAGGGGCTCAAGTTAAAGGAAATGAAGGTGACAGTCAGTGAGCTGCTTTAGTGTGAAAGGAACAAGTAAACTTAACGCTTAAGAGCGGCCAAACAGGTTTTCGTTCTTAGCAACGTGCTAACGCTGCACGTAGCTTGCCTGCATTAGTAAGCGTGATACAGAGAAGTGACTGTCATATAGATGGGTTAAGCCAAACTGAAAAAGTCAGGGGGAGGGACAGACAGCACAAAAAGAGCTGTGTGACACTGACCGATGTGAAAGGCGTCCTCCTGTTTATTGAGACCATTGAGCCCAAACAAGGTGCAAAGATAAACACAGGCTTCCGTTCAGCCATGTCGGTTTTCCCTGCCTAGCACACAACGCTGAGTTCAAACGAAACCACCAGAAAGTTGTCAACGGGGACGAGGGAGGGAGATCGATCAAAGGCTGAGTGAGAGGGGAGGATTGGAAAGATCTGGAGTCCAGAGAGTGACGAAAATACAAGTATACAGATTCAATGTGTCCATTTACAGTCTTACGGAATCAATGTATCTGTTCACATTCCTCACATAAATGCCATTTAAACCTTATTCTGCTGTGCTCATTTAAAATGTTTAATCCAGACATATCAGGGGGAAATAATTATGTTAACTGATCCAATTTCAGTTTCAATAAGCCACAATTCAAAGTGAATAATTAAGTATATTTTGCTTTGAGCCATAATATGTAATGAGCATCAAGATGAATATTTGACCAAACCCAGAGTTAGTACCTTGAACACTTGGCAACCTAATACTGCAACAAATCCTTGTCTTGTCCCAGGTTACTGTTAAATAGACTATTCTTCTCAAATAACCATAAAGCAAGATGGGGTGCTTCTGAAAATCAGACTATGCAGTTTTGTGGTGTATTCTTTATGGGGCGCACATACACACTCACTCCTACACCCACCCAACACCAATTTAAACCCTTTAGCAGCACTGGTAAGCATCCCCCCCCCCACACACAAAATTTCTACAACCCATACTTTCATAAAATATCTCCCACATGCAAAGATGCTGTTTAGCAAATCGATACCGAGCTCGTTTCCCTATATGTGTGCCCAAAAGTGGCGCCGTCCCTTTAAGATCCTCACACAGGCTTTCGCTGATGTGGTTTCTCTCAGTTTATTATTCACGGCTCCCAGGGTCTGCACAGATCGCTCCTCGGAGGAGCTGAGAGTAACAGGGTGAGAGGCAGATGTTTCCGCGTTAATGATTAACTGCACTTAGTGCAGTTCACAAACCATTAACCAGCTAGCAACCATAAGCGGAGAAGAAAAAGAACACAGTGAAGAAAAGAACAAAGACAGAACCAGGAAGGGAGGACGACTGTGGCAGGACAGCGGGCGGTCGCTCGGAAACAGATGCGCGACTTTCACAAACACAGGAGCAGGAAGGTGGTAGACAAATTTCATTTTTCTTCCTCAATCCAGACAAACGGGAAGAGAGGCCCATCCCAAAGTGGGATACAAACAGTCTCCGTGCCTCCCCCATCATCTTGAGGGGTCAGTGACGATCATCCTCAGCGTCCACTCGGGTCTGGCCTGTACACTCCTCCATCTGCCTCCTGGCTTATCTAGTGTAGTAGACTCTGTAGTAGACTGCTTTGGACCTCCAGAGGGAGTAGGAGTTATCGAACTTGAGGAGATAGACGCCACGGCCGGGGTACTGGTGGCTCCCTGCGTATACCTCCTCGTGGCAGTCCCTCCGGTATACTGGCACGATCTCGTCCACCTGAGGCTTGCTGCTGGTCTTCTTAGCTTTCTCCTGTTCGCTATGGCCGTCCCCTGTGAAGACCAGCAAGGTTGGGTGCATTTAGGACAGTTAAAACAGGCCCATATCCTAAGAAAGCTGCGAGGCAAAGCAAGACGTGATTCTATACAGACGCTCCTCACTTTACGATGGTTCAACTTAAAATACGACTTTATGATGCTGCGATATCAATGCACATTCAGTACTCAACTTTGGATTCTGATCTGTTCCTGGGCTAGCGATACGCTGTATGATTTCTCAGGCCCCGGCAACATCCACGCAGTCACACTTCCAGTTTCTGCAGCGATCGCCACTGTAAACATCTCATACTGTGTTTAACAGCGTCTCATACTATTGGATCACTTACTCATTTATCATATCATATTTGACTTAAGATATTTTCAAATTAGGATAAGCTCATCGGAACTTGACTCCATTGTAAGTTGAGGAGCATCTGTATATCCAAAAGGTAGGGCTACTCTATGCCAACCCTTAGATCCAGCCCCATTGTTTTGAAATAAAACAATATCATTTTTCACTGTATTCACGATGCCATTGCTGGGGTTATAGATCATATGGGGAATCAGAGTGAAGTGCAAGCACTGTGCAGATTTTACAGCTCACCAAAGTGACATCTGGACACAATGCGCTGGAGTGTACAAGCTTTTACAAAATGTTTACTACAGCTTTATTACTCGAGGAAAAGCCTGACAGGTCCGGCAGAGGCGCGAACCGCGAGGCGACTCACCCCCGTCGTCCTCGTCGTCGTCGCTGGACTCGCTGACGTGCACGCTAACGCCGGTGTCGCCCGAGTCCGTCCACTCAAAGTAGACCCCGAAGCCGATGTCGTAATGATCGGTGGCGAACTCCCAGAAAAGGTAGGAACCCTCCTCGTGCGTGGGCACACGGACTGTCACCACCTCGCCGCGGCCCACCGTGATCACAGAGTCTACATCCTGCCGGATCTTCTCCTTGAAGTCCTTGATCTGCGGCCGTGTCCACATCGACGGCGCGGCGATCAGCTGGCTGGTTTCTGCGTCGAGGGCAGACAGGGGACTATCAAAAATGGACACTGGTAACAAATGGGTGGAATCCCATTAAATTTTAGGGGATCCAACCTTTCAGCTAAAGCAGTAATACTAATGGCAGGTAAAAACAGATAGGGGCATTTTGGCTTCAACATTTCAATTAGTGCCTACAAGGTCTTCTAAGATCTAATAAATCAATCTATCGATCATCAATTCATCTATCAATCTATATGTGAGTCTATGCGCCTAAAGTTTGACAGGTTATGGACTTTCCTAATCAAGCTTTCAAACTCAGAACAGTGGCTATGGGATTTCTAGACCTCAGCCTGATATCAGGCACTGGTCCGTCACGGCGAAGGCGATGAGAACAGCACATGCCTGTGGGCCCGTTTTCGGTCAGCTCCGTCAGCTCCTCAGCCGGCTCCACCTCTGAGTGCCTGTCTGGGCTCTCGGGGCTGTGCTGCCCATTCAGAGCGAGGCCGTCAACGGCGCTCATGTTCACCTCTGCGGTCAAAGACCCCACTGTGTCCTCCTGCTGCTTCTGCAGGGCAGCCTGTGGATGGACAGGTGGGGGCCCAGTCAGCACAACTTCCAGAACCTTCCCTGAGAGAATGGCTCCCCTCAGAAAAAAATCGGACACACATGTGACCAGAACCAGACCTGAGACCCACCTGTTGCTGCGCCAGCTGGACCTGGTAGAGCTGTTGCATGTATTGCTGGTAGTGCTGCTCCTGTAGCTGCCGGATCAGAACCATCTGCTGCTCCAGGTTCCCAGGGTACTGCTGGGCTGCATACTGTTGGAACTGGACCGCGGTCTGGGCGTTCAGAGCTGCCATAATCTGCTGCCTGCAGAGATGTGAGGTCAACATATGCATATGCACAAGCTTGCATTGCTGTCCTTGTAGGGACCGTCTATCTCATTCTCATTTTAATACAATTAACCATTCCTAACGACATTCCAGCAAATGTAAAACTAAACAAAGAACCAATTATGCCAGCCTTGGCAACTTCAGAAACTCATTTCTTCCACTGCTACAAACAATGACCTCCACGTCATTTATTCCTCCCTGCAGCTAGAGGGCACTACAGATATAAACAAGATGCAATACAACATATAATTAAGGAAACTGCCCTATTGTAAGGCCTACAGTTTTGGGAATCCCCCCCCCTCCCCCGCGGCTGGCTTTAGCAGCACCTTCTCCGAGATGGGACAGGTACTCACTTCTGTTGCTCCACCCTCAGTCTCTCTTCTTCTAGTCGCAGTCGTTCCTCCGCCTCCAGCCGCTGCCGCTCCTCCTCCCGCCGCCGTCTCTCCATCTCCTCTTCCTCTTTCCTCCGCCGTTCTTCCTCCTCTTTCCTGCGTATAGTCGTTTCATTCCATCACTCAGGTGTTAAGTGCCCCAACGAGATCTTCCCAATCACATATTGACACGTCCTCCACGGCGGCCATAATCGAGGTGGAGCCTGAAGGCCGACCAGCAGCACCTTTTCCTTTCCTGCTCGTCCCTCTCGATCCGGTGCGACGTGACGTACGGAGCAAATAAGTTACAGCAGTTATTCAGCAGCCTGACAAACTCCATCATGGCTTCTTCCTTGTCCATGTTGCCCAGGGAAGACCATACTTTCCTGCAGGAGCAGAGATGCGTCAAAAGATTGCAGGGATCCAGACCACTGGCTGATTCTGCCATCTATTTAACACTGTATACAGCATTTGATATAGCTACGACTGCAGCCAGCAGTGGAAAGATGGCTCCTGAAATGAGCCAGCAACCTTTGGGAACAGCATCTTTACCTGCTGCCCTGACCCTTACTGACAGGCCGGACACTTGGTCAGTGGGTTCAGAAGACGACTGTTGAGTGGGACGTTCCCAGGGACATATTATATCACCAATGGTATGGAGAGCGTTTTGCAAATTAAGACGCTATGAGCTAAATATCATAGCTAAACGTATAACACGAAAATGAACAGTGTAACAAAGTTAGCATCTAACCAATGGGGACTTTGAATGCACACGTCGCCTGTCTACTCTTGAATCATCCTCAAGTTTGTCATTACGCGCTCAGGTACTCCGGCTGTTTATGGGAGATGTTTCTTACCGTCGGTCATTGCCGAGGACGTCGAAGAAGCCAACCTCGGGTGAGGCGTCGGGGTTGTATGGTCCCAGCGACACCTGCTTCTGCAGTGCGACGAGCCTCAGCTTCTCCTCGTACGTCGGGTGGAAGGCTTTGCCGTCTTTCTCTGTCGGGAAGATGTACGTCGGCTCAATGTGAGAGTGCAAGGGTGCGACTCCCCTTCCCATGCGCCCATCTGAGTGTAACCAAAACACGGGCAGCAAGCAAGGCTCAAGATAATGGCAGCGTTGGCGTGACAGGAGGGGAAGGGGCCATCGCTCATGACTCCCAGCCAGTTTTATAGATTCGTTTTGTTTTTTTTTTTCTTGCTATCTTTATGTTATTTTCTATTTTCATTTGAAATCCAGTTTAGTTTTAGTTACTTTTAATGTGTTTTTTATTTAAAAGATATACACAAAATTTAAAAGATCCACATTATGTACTAATGCCCTCAAAATAGGCAAAACACTTCCCAGGTATTATTAATGGTCATTATATATAAACAAATCATAACTTTCAGCTAATAATCAGTAAGACAACATATCTGATGTTCGTTTTTATTTTGTTTCCGGAGCAGTAATTTATGGCTTTCATTTGGTTGTAGTTCTTTTATTTTGATATCTAATTTTATTTCAGTTTATGAAAATATTTTGTTATGGTTTTAGTTTTCATTTAAGATGATAACCCTGCTCCTGACTGGGCTGCCAAACATGACAGAGCAGCGAGCCGTTCACAGCACTCTGGGCGTTGTGCTGACGGGCTTTTCCACATTAAAAGGGTTTAGAACAGTGAGGGGGGGGGGCGACATGAGTAAGAGGAACACAGGGGTTGGGCCTGGCCCAGAAAAGATAACCTCTGTATAACCTCTGTACCTACTGTTTCCACAGTGAAAACAGGAAAAGACTCTTCTAGTTCTACTGTTGCACAGATTCTTTGTCATGTGACCCTATTATTTCGCAGAAGTGTGGTGGCCAAGATCCGTATAGAGGAAGCGTGTTCCTGATAGAACATCCATATCTGCTGCATAATTAGGTTTCGTTGCAGAGAGCCCAGCTCAGCACCCAGTTGAATTTCTAAAGAAAACTATCCCCCCAACCGCAAGCACTACAGGCTCACATTAAAAACAGTTCATACATCACTACCCATACACGTCTACACGGGTTTTTACAACTGACACTTAGCAATAACAAAGTATAGGAAATAGTTTTACAGCAAAACTAATGAAGTAAGATGCACTAAAACCATAAGAAATACCAATATGGATTTAATAATGTAATGTAACCCCAAATTCAAAGTCTGGTATATTCCTACATACAGGAACTTTCAATCCCCATCATCATCATCCTCATTGTGCCTCCAATTCCGCTGGCAAAGCTAACAGATAGAGCTACCCCCCCCCCCAAGATAGCAGCTGTGTCCTCAATTTCTACCTAGAAGACATGAGAAGCACGGGCCCTAGTGAATAATCACTGTACCGTTGAAAGGACAGGACGTCCCACACTGACCGCGAAAAACCCTCCTGACAAGAGACCGTTAGAGATCCTGATGTAGACTAACATACAACACAACAGCATCTCTCTGCCTGCGTTTCAGATAAACTGGGCGGGAAAAAAAAAGAAGATTAAACAGGCAAGCAATAGAGAGAGAACGGTGTGTATGAGTCCCCCACCACGGCAGGACCGCTTCCGTTTCCTGCTCGGGAAGGAGAGGGTAGCCGGTGCTCCATGGATACAAAGACCCATTCAAGACCTGGAGCTGCATGTCCTGCCTGCCCAACAGGTACAGCAAAAAGCCCAACAGGTACAGCCAAAAACCCAACGAGGGGCCAAAAGCCCGTTACTCAGCAGGGACATAAGATTCAGAGTCTAAACCGCATCAGTCCATCCCTCAGTCCAACATGAAGCTCAGATTGTATATCGTGTCAGTCCATCCATTAGCAAAAGCATAAGGCTTGCAGTGTGAGCAGGGACATAAGGCTCAATACATTAACTGCGTCATTTGGTGGACACAGGTTATAGCTGCAGCATTGCTAATATATCCTTATCCTTCAGAGACAGTGATTAATAATGGAAAGCCTAATGTCCTTATGCCTTTATATATCCACTATATGGCAGGGGTGCCCAACTCCAGTCCTGGAGGGCCAGAGCCCTGCACAATTTTGGGTTTCCCCTCATTTAACACACCTGATTCAACTCCTTGTGCTAATTACCACACAGCTCTTGAGCTGAATCATTTATGGTGGAACAGGGAAAGAATTAAGCTACACAGGGCTCTGGCCCCCCAGGACTGGAGTTGGGCACCTCTGCTATATGGACTAAAGTATTGGGACACCTGACCATTACACCCCCAAGAACTTCTATGACATCCCATCCTAAATCCATAGGCATCAATATGGAGCTGCTCTCCCCCTTTGCAGCTATGACAGCTGTCACTCTTCAGGGAAGGCTTTCCATAAGATTTTGCAGTGTGTCTGTGGGAATTTTTGACCATTTACCCAGAAGAGCATTTGTAAGGTCAGGCACTGATTTTGGATGTGAAGGCCTGGCTTCAAGTTCATTCCAAAGCATTCATCAAGTCTCCAAAGGAATAAATTATCACACTGCAAGACAGAGAAACGTGATTCGTCACTCCACAGAAGACATTTCCACTGCTCCAAAGTCCAGGGGCAGCGTGCTTTACACCACTCCATCTGACACTTGACATTGGGCTTGGTGACGTGAGGCTTGCATGCAGCTACTCGGCCATGGAAGCCCATTCCATGAAGCTCCCGATACACAGTTTTGGTGCTGGGGTTAATGCCAGAGGAAGTTAGGAATTCTGAGACCCCACTTCGGTCTTTACGTGGTCTGTCACTTTGTGGCTGAGCGTCTGTTGTTCTAAACCCTTTCGCTTTGCAATGATACCACTTATAGTGGATTATCTAGCAGGTAAGAATGAACCGAGTTCTTCAGGATGAACCTTTCGTTTACAAATGTTTGTAAACCTGACTGATTTTATACACCTGTGGCAATGGGTCTGAATGAAACACCTGAATTCAGTAATTAAGAGGTGTGTCCCAATACTTTTGTCCATGTAATCCATATTCCTGTAGATAAGCTATCGCGACATAATTTTTTTCTAACTGTGACTTCTTCACTCCAAGTCAAATGTCACCTTCTAACTGTGTGCTTAGTGGGTGATGTGTGAGCAGGTAACGCAAACAAGGCTGACTGCCTGGCAAACTTGCAGGTGCGTAATAATAAATCCCCGAACCTTCTTACCACCAGGGTGTGAATTACAGAGCAGTAAATTATATTTTAACTACAGGGATGTGCGCTCAGCTTCATTACAGCCATCGGCAGCTTTCCCAATCTCCTTTGTGCTCTCCTTGTAGCTGGAACAAATGAATACCCAATTTAACCTCTAACGATTACCAGCATCGGCGACGGGAGGCTGACAGCACTTAAGACAGTCTGACCTCTCACTAGGCGTATGTGTCAGCGGCAATTTAGAACAGAGTTAGCGACTGCTTGTAATCTCCTGTAATCTTATCTAAGTTTATGACCTGGGACACCTTTATTTTTTTCATCAATGCAGCATGTCTACTACAGTAATCCACACCAACACCTGGCAGGATATTATCTTGACTGCCTCTAATTAGATAGAATTGCTGCAGGACTTGTCCTGTTCAGCAGGCATAGGTCCTGGAATGACATCTAACTGAATGCCACAGTTCACCCCCCCCCCCCCCCTCTACCACAACCCCCCCACACGCACACTCATGGACAACGCAATTGGTTGCTTACAGCAGTGAACTCTCACTGAATACGGTCTCAGAAACACAACACTCTCACAGAATATTTACGAAAATTGCTTTCCATTGCCTCTGATAACAGGGGATGCATCTGCTTCCGGGAGTGACCACAAGCATGGCCCACAGTCATTTGCTAAGCAAAGTGCATAAGAGGATAGACAATGATCTTACTGCATTTACACACCCTATACTTGTGCTAAGTGACAGAAAATACCAGTATAACTCTACAACAGATACATTTACACTGTATTCACTTAAACACTTATGTCAGGCAGCTGTGGAAGCCAGAATAATTATTACCATATTGTATTTGTGCTAATTTTAAAGTTTTACATTTAAATGCATATTTTACAGGAGCAATATAGGTTAAGTGCTACTGCAGAATCCCTCTTGGGACCTCAGGTCACAGATCCGTGCCCTAAACGCTAAGCTACACGTCATACAGACATCCCTACAGTCCCCTAACTTCCCTTCACAAAAATGTGTCCAACGTTTCTGTGACAGCCTGAGAGATTTGCACTGTTACAGAAGAAAAAATGCAGGACATTCAAATACAGCAATCAACATAGGTTCTGATTCCATATTTTACTTAAATCTAAACCACCCACCAAGGCGGCAGTCCAAGTGATACAAACATTCCTGGATAATTAACTAACCCACCACCAAGTTAAAGCCACGTATAACCAGCCCAACCAACGAAAATTAACTGTCAGCCATATAAAATCTGCTGCATGACACCTACAGATTGACACAGCCTATTAATCAGGAAATGAAAGAAGGAGTGGGCAAGCAAATTGCGTAAATATTTTCTCGTCCTAATTTAATATATCTGGCTGCCTTGCACTGAAATGCTGCACAACAGATTTGCACCAAATGTCACTTATTTTGAGCAACTTCAGACAGACCACGTCAAACACCGCGCATTCAACTCCATGCCAGGCTTGAAGTCTGATCAATTTATTTTACAACTACAACTACGCCATACAATGGTTTTACAATTTAACAGGATACGATACCTTTAAAGAATTTCAAGGCCAGCCCGTAGAGCTCTTGCAGAGAAAAGCCCCATTTTAATTCCATGGTTCTGGCAGTGTCGCCCTTTTCGTCATCCGTCCCATCGGGGGCACCCGGGGCTCCTTTATCCTGCCCCTGCATCTCAGCATTCAGCCTTTCGACGGACTCCTGCTCGCCCTCGGAATCGGGGCTCAGCGTCAAGCCGTCGATGGAGACTTCCAGGCGGCTAGAGCCGCCGCCGCCGTTCGACTCGGGTCTACGCGCGGCCGTCGCCATCACGCCGAGTGTCAGCCGGAGCGGCCACGTACCAACTTCCGGCTCGTGGAGCGCCGGAACTTCCGGGATCAGTCGAGGGGAGGGGTTTGGTCTTTGGACCGTAAAGACGCATGCGCAAGGACCATGCGCAAGAAATGAATGAACTGCAGGACAATATCGGCAGTGTCAATCCTTTGCGCTTCCTTGTTTTTTTCTTCTTCTTTTTTATCACTACATGATGGACTTTTGTTTGATTTGGGAAGTTAGGTGACCTCCATCTTTCTCTAAATTTCTGCCAATATGATTGTATGCTCCATATTTTGTTATTTTGTAATATTAATCATCTGCATGGATCCAATGTATGGACATCTGTTTCATAAAAAACAATGTTGTCAGTGAATGAAAGTGATTACCCACTACCATCTATAGAGTAACGCCTTCAGCGTCTTATGTAATATTCACATCTATCTATCTATCTATCTATCTATCTATCTATCTATCTATCTATCTAATCTGCCATCCAGGCTTTTTCCGTTTCTGTTGCAGTAGGATCATACTATTACAGCTATTTAATATGCGTAAGTAAAATTCGTCACGTTTAGCCTCAAATCACAAATATAAAGGATTTTAAAATAATGGCATATTATATAAACGAGACAAACTCATAGACACATCATTTCAAGATTGTGTTCTTTAAATCTTCTTCAGCTAGTATATCTTTTTTTCAGTTGTTCTGTAGTAATGTTATTTTAAGAGCTTTACGATGCATCGCCGTGAAAAGGCTTCTGTGGTGTCCAGGGCCGTAGCTAACATTGTTGATACGGTCCCCTTCATAAGCAGTTAATTTTTTTAATCAATTAGTTACGTGAAACGTTAGCCTAATTTTTTTTCAGGTGAATATTTAGCTTCAAGTATTATTTTAGCTCTTAAAAAATTACCGAGGTCCGGTCCTCGGTGACCTCATAGCTGGCTACGGCCCTAGTGGTGTCAAGTGTCGGTCAGTACTTCAAAAAAGATGGGGTGGAGAGATCAAACGATCGTCTAATTGTCTTATGCTTTCTGCAGTCCGTGCACCACATTTCCTCCTATTTTAACTGAATCAACATTGAAATTTCCTCCCACGCCCGGCTCCTGAATTTCAATTGTATGAGCTCCCTAATGATTTTCACGCAAAAAAAAAATCCCGTTATAGTTTACCTTTAAAGATTTTTTCAGTCAATTGAATTCTTAGCAATATCATTTTAATACCAATATCAGTTTTAATCCTGCTTTTATACCATATATAGATCAGTTTGTTTACTTAAAATACTTATATTTACTTAATTTATATTAGTTCATTGATATCAATGAGCAGTCAAAATAATCACTGTATCATATTCTGTTTAATGTAAGATTACTTACTCTAGTCATGAAAAAGGAAAGCCCTCAGGTCTCCACCGTGCCTTTTTTCATTCAATAACCTTTATTTTACCAGGCAAAGCTTTAAGAACAGTTTCTTATTTACAATGACATCTGGAGACTAAAATTGCAGAAACTGCTGGTATCATATGCACCCAGTACTTGAAGTGGGTCCGTACCAGTACCTTTGTTTTCCTCTTTATAGTCCTGGGAACAGATCTTGCGCACAACATCTCCCCTGCCAGTACTGCATGCGAAGGGGGAGTCCTGGCACCTGTGTTTTCCTTCCTCAAACACTGCATGTATAGCAGACGCACAATTTATTGCCGTGTCATCAGAGAGATCTACCCACACTGTCTGAAAAATGGGTACAGCCCTGGTTCAATTTTGTTCCCAAAAGTACAAATAACATTATTGTACCCTCAATGGTACAAAATGTTTCTCAGAGTCCATTTCTGCACCTTAAATTAGACTAAAAGGCACATTTGCCTACATCTACACAGTACAATTGGGAGACCTTTGAGGGTACAGCCCCACACTGTTAGAAAAAAAGACTACCATTTTGCACTTTTGCTTGTCACTGCGGGACTCGGAGGAATATCCCCAAGGTACAAACAACAATAATGTACCCTCAATGGTACAAGAATATTCCTCATAGTCCATTTCAGTATCTCAGAATTTGCTACGGCCCCAGTGACAAGCAAGTGTACAAATCGGTACTCTTTTTTTTCTGACAGTGCAGGAGGGAGGAAATGGCATTCATATTGTTGAGATAAAAGCAATACACACATCACTTTATTGCTTTAAAGTGTTTCATGTGTCCTTCAAACAAAGTTGCAGTAAGATTGACATTGGAAAATACCCAATGAGTTCAGAGACTGATGCATCATCTGAGAATAAGCCTGGAAGGGTTGGGGGGGGGGGGTTGAGTCGTGAGGAGGTGGGGAGGGGGGTAGTTAAGATCTTAGCCCAATACACAACACCAGTCACAGGAATGACAACGCCTACAACATACAGAATCTGAAATCGTTTAAGATAAGATTAACTTTATTGATCCCAGGGAAATGCTCTGGAAATGTACTTTGTGGGCTCACAAGGAATGTGTTGATTGTAATATGACTAAGTATCATTTTAATAAACAGAAGAGAAAATTAATCTTATAAATTGTGTTTGAATGCAGCGGGACCTTTTAATACCATATTTCTTGCCCCAAAATAATCAGCTGTATATACCATCATCCGTCCATTTTCCATAGCTGGTTATCTTGGATCACTTGCAGCACCATTTAAACTTAATTTAATTATAATATCTGTGCGTATTTGTTGTGTTTTACATTGTGATTGACCATGTTCTATTGCCGAAGTCTGATTTTACGTGTTTTAGGAATGTGTGTGACCCTTCTGTAGAGGTAGGAAGTCTGTGGGTTGTGTTCCTCTTTTAAAGGTTTTAATGTTTAATGACTTGCATTTAAGGATGACATTTTAAGTGTTTTAATGGGCACAGCTATTTTAATTGATTGCACGTTTGTTGGTTTTATGAATTTTTGATGTTTTATTGATGTGATTTTATGAATTATTGCATTGTTTTGTTGTTAATAAAGTATTTTTCTGCTGGGATGATGACAAGTGGGATCCTGTTGTGATTGCAAGATGACATGATCCCATTCTGACCAGTAAGGAAAAAGAAACTGGGAGGAATCCCATAAGACAGAGGGAGAACCTGCAAGCACCACACACAAAGAACTGGCCCAGTTATCTATATATGTGCACTAACTAAGCATTACTGCATTATATTCTGGCCATTTTCCTGCAGTGTTTTGTGTGTAAATTGTGTCTGAAGGAGAAAAAAAACATGGATGACAAAACTTTCACAGGCTAAGTGGAGACAGGTCATTAATCCAGATGGGTTCCTGGGGGGGATCTTTTCAGTGGTGTTTGTGTATTACTGCTGCCTTTGGTGTGTGTGTGATGGTGACAGGTTTTCATTACACAAGACATTTTTTTCAAACACAACAAGCTGGAATTACAAAGGTATGGTAAAATAACAGCAGCCTCTCACCAACAACCATTAAGCACTAAGTAAAGAATTCATAAACAAGTTAACAGCTGACATTTTCATAACTAGCAGAGCGGGGAAAAGGACTGTAGTGAATGCAAATAAACAGCATTATTATCATACATAGCATTAGCGGTCAGAAAATATTTTAATATGATTAAATAAATGTTAATATTCCTAAATATAGGCCTAACACCCCAAAGCAAAATAAGAAACGTTTAAATAAACAATTACATTTCGAAATGTTTTAATTTTTCCAACATTCTTCACAATTTTTAAAAATGTATCCTCACAGACAACAAAACGTAGCTTTTAAAAATGTATTTGATCAAATAGGAACTATAGTTAGCCTATGTGAGTTGTATAAGAAATCATGTTACAGGGTTGCCAACTCTCACGCACCTGGCGTGACACGTTCAGACTCTCGGGCGCACGCAAGAAATCTTACGGCAATTTTATTCCATTATTATATACCATTACAAACCTAAAATTAGCCATACATCAAAAACGCTGGGGCAGGCTGAATATCCTACAGACTGTTTACAAGGTAATAAACCTCTTGCATACATGTAAATAAGTGTGCAAATTTGTCTCGAAAATGTCACGCCAACCAGCTGACCAGAATAACTTCTTAATAAATTCTTGCTCTACGTTATCATTTAAACATGTCATTTAAAGTATTGGAAGCGGTATGTGTATTGCCTGCGAGAAGCCCATTAATACCCCTACAGATTATCTAACGGATGCCTGAATTCGGGCCGTAACTTCACACCTACCACCCATCAGACGGCTGAATTTTCGGTGTCAGCCGAAGTAAATCGCCGTGCGTTCACACGTTTCAACTCGACTTTGATCACCCAAAAAAGCGAAGCAGGATATAAGTCGAACCCTGGTGAATGTCATTTCAGTGCGAACAAGTAATCGGAGGAGTAACTTCAGCGTTCAAGTCAATTTGGATACTAGCATTGAATTTCAGATGTATTCAGGGGGGAAACTCAACAATACTGTCCACATGCCTTTATCAGGTTGGTAATTTAGAAAGCTTTACATTTTCTTTATCCGTTTCATATTAAATGAATGTCGAGTTTACTTTCAATGAGTATTTCAGCGCAGACATACATTGATGGATTTTAACTTTCCCTGCAGAATTCAGTGCAACGACCAACCTGCCGGGATTCTACGGCGTTACAGACTCCGTCCGTCCGAGGACGGACAGTGTGGCATTGCTGACCCACCGCAGAAAGAGGACTAACTTCACCCAGCAGCAGATCGAGGTCTTAGAAAAGGTCTACTCCGATACCATGTATCCAGACATATACCTTCGCGAAAGACTGGAGGCTCTGACGGGACTGCCGGAATCCAGAATTCAGGTAAGCAATATGTGCAGCATAAGTACAATGATCCTGTACTTAAATTTTATTGTGCAATTAGCAGTGGTTACATTAGACACGTTGATTAGGCCTGTTGCAATTAGCGAATTACATAGGCTTAATATGCTCATACTTTCTTGACGACTATCTGGCATATGTGCTGCATATGACGTGTAGGCCTATATAGATTTAACACAATCTTGGCTCTTTATTTCCAGGTGTGGTTCCAAAACAGACGAGCAAAATCCAGACGTCTAACGGGGATCCCCGCATCATTGAAGCCCAGCAGCCCCAGCCATCCGTTAAAGCAGCTCCAGAATAGGATGCCGGCAGAGATGCAGATAATGGCCCATTACACGCCGGGAAAGGACTTCAGAACCCCATTGACCAGCATTACGGAAGATGCGCGGCCGAAGGCCAGACCCACGCACTGCAACAGCTACGGGCATTACGAGGCAGCTGACGGGCACCAGCAGACAGATACCGGTGCTGCGGCGGTAGCTCACAGCGGTGTCTTGCATTACCGCAAAGAAAACGCGCACCTTCTGCAGCACAGCGTCAGTAACCAGCCCAATCATGTTCTGGTGGACTACGACAACTTCCCTCCGAACAAGACTATCGGACCCGAGATGAAAGTTGTGATCCCCCCATTGCCTTCATGTACCACCTTCAGCAGGTCACCACCCAAGGGATCGATGCCCCCAGTCGGGGCTATGCGGATGGAGACCGGGCTGGGCGGCTTCCGAAGTTTCTCTCCAATCAATGACTCCGAGTCTGGCGACAAACTTTCGGATTCCGATTCCGACTGGGAAACCGGAACGATATCTGACTTTAACGACTTCATTTATAATTAGTAATTTCGACAAAAAAATCGTGTTTTTATTTTAAATATGTATTCACATCCGTAATTAGAAATATTGCTCTGTTCATATTTTTCGCCGAAATTATTTATTGTATTTAAGCAACAAAAAAAAGCCATTAATCACATTCACAAAATTTTAAATAAAACACCGATCGACAAGTTCATTATCATTCAATGATTTTAGTAGGACCTATTTATCAATCCACCTTCTACCCTTGTCAGAATCGTTGTATTTCTGCATAATAAATATTTTAAGGGCGGTCAGAGGCCAGGTGCATACACATGTTGTTAACAATGAAAAACAGAACATTGCCAAAAGTTATCAAATCAATAATTTATTCCCCCCCCCCCCAAGCAAAAACAACAAATATTTACAAACGGAAACCATTCGTTTCGGTTTACGGCACCAGCATTCCTTTCGAAGGACATTTTACTTTTGCCTTGAAATACACACTTTACTTCGGAGAATAACGCACTAGCTACATAATGACGTCATTTACAGAAGAGAAAGGGGAGGTATCCATGGATAGGTTATGTTGGATATCATTCGTGTCCGTCAAGATAGTCACAAGTCAGCTTTAGAAAAATATTGACTCGTACACAAATGTTAAAGTATTTACATGAAAGTACAAAAGATGCCGTTAAGGCATCCCAATATACTACAATAAAAGCAGAAACGTTTTTAAAACTGTACAGTATATACAAAAAACCCTTCATTTCTAGCCAATCAACAAAATTAAAAATGTCCTTATACTTGCATTTCATAAATGACAAGATGTCCTTCTAGGTGAGCATGTTTCTGCAAATTCCGACAATTAGTGTGTCAAACAGATGTCACTTCCTGTAACATGCCTCTAGAAATACCACACAGATACAGCCCCTTTTTGGCACAAAACATTTTGTAATGAAGGAACTGGTGGCAGAAAATGTAAGCAATATTGGGCGGTACACGCATCTATTCAGAAGAGCCTGAGGTAGTTAAAGTCTAATGTACTTACCAGTACATGTACTAAAAGCGGATACATTGTCTGCACCTGAAAGTTAACATGCAAGTTGTGATTTTACCAAAATTCAGCCCTGGAACATTTTCGGTTTTAGGCATTGCATTACTAAAAGCAGGAAATGCTTACTGAACACAAAACAAGTGACAAAGAAAATGAGAAGCTGTTGGAGAAATATTGAAAACCCACCAGGACTGCACAGCCTGCATCAACACCACCATGAATGTTAAAAATCAGTACACAACTGGCAAGGGAACAAAAATTCGGCTCAAAAAAAGTGACATGGAATCTTGTGGATACAGGACAAGCATTTCATGAAGTCCTTTGGATGGGAACTGCCTTGACGACCGACCGGCAGCTCTCTGCAGACAGCAGTTTTCCTTACGATGCAGAAGATAGTAGCGAAACATCACACTTTGTTAGTGTTGTTGGCAGCAAAGGCGTGAAGATTCCCCATCTGACTCAGGCCGCTCTGAATGTGAGCTATGTGAATCTCAACATTATTCTGAAAACAGCTGGGGGGGGGGGGGGGGAGAATTACGAATAATAATTCACCAGCTCTAGAATGTGGAAGTTCACGTTATAAAACAGTTTCTACTGCAATGATCAAGAACGGGAGATTCTTACCTCAGGTTGGAACCATCTATAGAGCCCTTGATGTCACTCAGGGAGTCAGACAATGACTTAAATTCAAAAGAATTAAAGTCGTTTCCCTCTGCCAGACCCTATGAAACAAAAATGCAACTTGAGTTTCCGAAGAGTTGAGTCTTGACCTGGTCTTATTTACAGTAAGACACGTAGTGGACCGACTAGTCTGACAGTGTGAAGTATAACGAACAGCCGTCACAAACACTAGAATTACTGGAAAATTGTGGCCAGTTAGAGGGTATTGGACGTGTCATTACGGCACCTGCTGCTACAGACAAAGCCAAGAACCGTTATGGCTATTGATCTAATGTCCCTCCCTGCTTCAGGCCCTCTCCAAAAAGACAGAAATGCAATTATAGAAAAGATTACAAAATAAACAGCTTTGTTAAATGTGAACATAGAATGTGAATAAACAGAATCCTTCACAAATCAGGACTAGCTTCCAGTTCTGTGTGCGGCTCAGCGAGCTAAGACTCTGCCTGTGATCAGAAGATCCCCGGTTTGAGCCCTGGCCTCAGCAGAACTGTCACATGTCTGTGGGCCCTTGAGCAAGGCCCCTAACCCCCAGGGGCCCCACACCTTGGCTGACCCTGCGCTGTGACCCCCAAGCTTTGGAGAACAAGATGGGGTCTGCAAAGGGAAGGATTCCAATGTACCTGTATTTGTGCAAATTAAGCATGTTTTAGTTGGTTTTGTAATCTGGCATTGGGGTATTTTGGCAAGTTTGAGTGTATTCATTACTTTGGAGCTGAAAAATAATTGGCCACCAGTGTGCTCATTTCTGCTGCAGCTCAAATGTCTGATTTATACCCTTACTGTCCAAACTGATGTTCTTCAAAAGATTTGGGTTTGAAGACTCAAACAGGAACAGATTCATTTACTGTCCAATTAGCTAATAAATTCTTATGTAGTGAAACTTAAATATTGATTAAACAGAATAGCAATTATCTGACTCCCCATTAATGCTGAATTTTATAGCTGATGTTGTAAATCATGCATTTCTTTTTGCAGTGATACAGCATTTAGTTTGATAAATTTAAGCAGGCTTCCCAGCTCTTAACACCAGGTGTCAGACAGCATGTGAGCATGAAAAACTACCTTTATCTGCAGGAGGAGCGCGGTGAGCCCAGAAATCAGGTCGGTCAGGCTCTGGCTGCGGACGCGGCGCTGGCTGTCGTGGAGAGCCTGCCGGACTGTTTCGCGGGCCTCATCCTCACAGCGTCGTCGCAGGTCGGTCGGAAGGTTGGCTGGCTGCATGCCCTGCTCTGGGGCCAACTGCAGACCACAGACAAACCCAGGTTCCACATCTGTAACTGAAGCTTAACATCTAGCAAGAACCTTTGGTCTAATCAGCAATAACTAAAGCAATAGTGGACGCGGAGACGACATCACAGGAAGCCTCGTTCCCCCCCCCAAAATACAAAACAGCTGCCTCTTGTCTGGACACAGACCGAGGGGTCTCACCTCGCAACAGTACTGCTGCACTTCGTGCAGGACTTCACTCAGATCTTTGTTGAGCCGCTCCAGGTCCAAAACAACAGTGGCATATCTCTTTTGGAACTCAAACCCTATAGACATGGAGCAAGATTTCTGTCGAAAGCAGACAGGCATCGCAGAATTACATCAATGAACTTCACCACACTGAAATTCACAACAAAAAACCTAGTCAATGCAATATCATGTTTAATACAGCTGCTGAAATTCATTCAAGTTTTTCAAAATCTCCAACTCCGAGGGAAGCCTTTCATTTGGCAGCAATGTGAGAAATCGGAATGAACAAATATTATTATACATTGATACAGAGCAACTACAAACCAGTTTCTCAGCCTCTGCATTCATGTCCTTTAACTGTCTAATGTTTTCCTTCTTGACCATCAGGATCTTTGACAGCCTTGTCTGAAACAGAGATGCTTCTTAATTGAACGTTTCCAGCCCATTTCTCAGAAGCATCTGGCGACGCGGCTCACGCACCTTCTATCGCGTGCAAACAGATTGCAAACACGGGTGGCCCGTGTTCGGACACGCTTACCACTTGCACAAGGAAATTGACAGGGAAGCCGCCCAGCGTTTCCCCTTCGGCAGCAAACAGCTTATTCTTCCATGGCGACTGGCCCAATAGCGGGTCACCATCCTGTCAGAAAAGCCAATCAGGTTTAAGTTAAGTAATAAACATTCTATAGTCTTGTACCAATCAAAATTAATTAGTTGGTAAGTTACCAAGACAACTGGCTCGACTGGCGGGGAGTACGACACACGAGGCGGGGTCAGAAGACCCTGGAGATGATTGGGCCGCTGTTTGAGCACGAAGGCCGAGATGGGCATCGTTTCGTGGGGCTCGTTGCTCTGGAGGAGGGAGGACAGGTGACAGGTCATGGTAAAGCTGAACGTGAGAGGCAGGGAGAGTGACTGGCGGCAAGCATGCAGCACTCACGAGAAGCTCGTAGTCAGGCACAGTGTGCGTCCCTAGACCGTTTCTGTCGAAGGTCACCCTGTAAGTGGCCGCACTGGTGTCCACAGCATCGATCTGTCCAGTGAACAGGCCGTCATGAACTCCCCTTAGGCGGGCTTGGGCACAGAACACACCACACGCGAGTTACCATGGGGAAACACCACAGACTACCTTAATAATTCTAACTGCTTAAACTTCTTGGGAATGGCTGTTTTTACTTCTAAAGGATGTTAAGATACATTATTTAATTAAGGATGGAAATTAATTTAATGAGAATTTAGGCCAGGGGTGATTGTAGGGTTAGCCCACTTGGGATGCCCCCCCCAGCAGGGTCAAGAACTGCCTATGGTTGGGTTTATAAATTATACTCAAATAAATGAATGCACTGCAAGACAGATTTTTAAGGAACTGGAGGCTTGCACTTACACCTACCTCTCCAGTAGGTGGCCCAAAAGGTCTCCGAGCTCTGCAATTTCGGAACAGTCCCCCAAGCTTACCAGTGACTTTCGTGCCGATGACCAAAGGCAGAGGGATGTTCTCTGGCAGGTCTTTGCAGTGCGACACGTCCGTCAGCTTCCTCTGCTGCAGCAGGCGGATTTTCTGTCTCTTCTCATTCAGCAATGATCGCTCCTCTGTGAAGAAAGCGGATGAACACCTGATGGAGAGAGGAAGACATTCAGCATCATAAGGCCACAAGACAATTTCCAACCGGGGCCTAGAATTAAAATGACAAACCACAAACAAAAATAGAGCAGACGACATCTAAAGATGTCCACTACCTGGTATTCCCTATGCTTCTTAAGTAATAATATCACCCTTCATGAGGGCCTAAACCCCAATTGCTTTGGTGATGTTGGAAACTGGCTGATCCTATGTTCTGAACCCAAACATTACCTCACTTCGATATATAGCTCTGGAAAAAAAATAAAAATTATGAGACCACCGCATATTTGACGAATCTACATTGCTAAATCCTGGTTTAATTGTGGTTTTGCTGGCAGAAGGTTACACTGAGCTGCAGGCTGCTTCCAGGCTCACAATTTCTAAGACATCAGTACACAAGAACAATGTGAAGCATGAGACACAGGGAATGACGAGAAACCTGCCAGGTAGAGGGCAGAAGCGACAGTCTAATGCCAGAGATGACCTTCAACAATGCCAAATGAATTGGAGGATGACGTCAAGTGACCTTCAAAGAGAATGGGAAACATTAAGTGCAGGTGTGAAGTGCACTGCTAGGACAAGTTTGTAACAGGCTGTTAGAAGAAGACTGAAGTCCTATAAAGCAAGGAAGAAGCTCTTCATCATTGAGAAGCAGGGAAGAGTCAGGTTGGAGTTTCACACAGGCACAAACCCATACATTGAGAAACGAGTGAAACTAAAAATTTTGCTGTGGTCTCAATTTTTTCCAAAGCTGTACATGTGTGCCTTGCCCGACACAAACCGATACAGAATATACAAAAATTAACCAATTTCCCCACAAATTAAGCCTCTTCCCCCCCATTATACTGAAGTGTTTATTTTCCACATACATGGCCTGATTTGTTGTAACCCTAGAACTCAAAACATCTACACAAAGTCCTATAAAACAAGAAGATATATAAACATATACTACACCGTCTCGGCTTCCCCATCAGCCTCCTTATCGTTTCCCATCCCACCCGGGTCAACTTCCTCGTTTTCAGGTTCGGGAAAGATTCCTTCAGACAAAGACAGAAGTCATTGTCGCCTTCAAACAAGGGCCTATGAAAAGAAACCACAACATAAAACGCAATTTAAAAAAAATAAAAAAAAAAGGACCTAACCCACAGTCGTTCCATAACTAGAAATCGCACCACTGGAGCTCACTGGAGGTTTTGGGCAGTCAATAATGTAAAGTACATTGCCTCAAAACAATGTTGTGAAAGTGCACTATGTAAATAAAAACTGAATTGTAGGCGTGCGACTACTTCAGTCTGGACAAGGCTTACTTGTCGACGTCCGAGTAAAACCACTCATAAATACACCACTTGTGGGCCTTGGGGAGTTTCAAGAGGTTCCTCAACCTCAGACCGATCTTCTGTGAGGCCTTCTTGTCTGGTGCTGGAACACTCGCAAACTTCTGTGGCAGAGACCAGAGACAGAGCTTTTTAATCACCCAGAAGGAGTCCACCTCCCCCAAACATTTCATATGCACCTCTATGTCAAGTCAAGAGTCAAGAGATGTGTCACATACATACAAAAATAGAAGAAAGGTAAGAAGTACAAACTATACCACACAAATGCCCCCCCCCCCATTCTGCCTTAAAGACTAACTAAACAGATCCTACTTGTTCTGAAGGTTCTGCTCACCTGAGGTACAGTGGTCACCCGCTGGCTTCTTCGAGGAGACAGGAAGCTGACCGCCTGTCTGCTGTCCTCCTCATAGACCAAACGGCTCTTTTTTGAGCTTCTTGGCTTGAATCCAAAACAGATGGTATGATTTATACCTACCATCCAGAACTCAGAAATGTTTATTAAAATAAGGAATAAGGCACCTTTTTCTTCATCGGCGGTAACAAAAATGATTATAGGATAAAATTATAATGGGGTTTTAATGAGCAGTGACTATTATTACAGCTACAGGACTCAGCTATAGTTCACTGGAAAGTTGAAAGAGTACTTGGTATTATCAAACTTAACATTCATGTACAAATGGCATATATATGAAATCCTGACCTTTTACTTGGTCCCCTTGATGAGATGTACACCCCAAAACAGAAGAAATTAAAAATGCTGCAAATCAGACGTTAACTCGGGGACTTCCTGCATACGCACAGAGGGCTACTGCCATGCTGTTATTGCGAAACTGAGAGGTTATGCGGATTAGCTTTACATACAAATTAAAAAATAAATAAATCATAAAAAAAAAAAAAGGGTGCAACACCCTTTTATTGCTTGATGGATTAAATTATGCTTTTTGCATGGCCAAACCGCCTTTTTCGGGTTATGACCACGCTGATGAGGGGATAATACGCACGACTCAAAAGCACGCAACTTATTCGATGCTTTTTCTGCATGTTCCTAAAGGCACACGGGCAGGACCATTAAAGGTATGAGGGAAGAAGGGAACAGGAGACGGAGATTGATCGGTGCAGTGTTGGCAGTGACGCAGATGCTATACCATTCTGTCATGGTACGGAGGGAGCCGAGCAGGAAGGCAAAGCTGTCCATTTACCAGTTGATCTACATTCCTACCTCACCTATGGTTACAAGCTTTGGGTGGTGATCGAAAGAATGAGATCTCAGATACAAGCGGCAGAAATGAGTTTCCTCTGCAGGGTGGCTGGACTCGGCCTTAGAGATAGGGCTAGGGGCTCAAAGACCTGCTGCTGCTCCACAGTGAACAGAGCCTGGTTCCTGCATCCTGTGGAGGCATTTCAGGCATGTCCAACCGGGAGGAGACCCTGGGACAGACCCAGGACAAGATGGAGAGATTTTCTCACTAAGCCGGCTTGGGAAAGCCTTGGTATTTCTCTCCCCCCCCGCTGGAGGAAGTGGCTGGTGAGAGGGAGGTCTGGGCATCCCCGATTAGACTGCTGCCCCATGACCCGACCACAGATAAGCGGTGGATAATGGATAGAACGAATAGATGGAAGAAAATGGGTAATCCCATGCCGAATTTAATCAAAAAGTGATTTGTTTTGGAAATTAGTTGAATTAAAATGGAATGACTGAGACAAATGCAGTGAACATAATTTTGTGGTTGTTAATGTGAGGTAAGCATCTTACCATCTCCATTGGGGAGCAGGTACCCCTCCCCCTGGAGTTCTGGGGTCTTACTACACTGTACTTCTCATTCCATGAATTTGCCAGACTTCCTTCTGGAATTCAAGAAATGAAAATGAAAATTTGGGTAAATTACCCAAAATTCCTCTGAAGGGTCCCACATGGTCATCGATAAGGTAATTTGTATGGATGTATATACACACCTTTCGTTTGTTTTAAAAATTGTTTCTTTTAAAAAAATATATATTTTTTTGGAAATCATGAGCAGACACTGTCCAGTTGATGTTTCAGGTGGAATTCTACCATGCTATCAAACCCAGTGTGACCTGATAATATACATTACCTTTCAGGCTCACAAGAGCTTTAGCTGAGGAACCTAAACACAACAGAAAACATTATTAGGGGCAACCAAAACACAACAAAAACAGACCTCAGATCAGCAATTACACATGAGAAACACAGCAGTGAAAACTACAATTATCAACCACAAAAAAAAACAAAAAAGACAAGCAACAGCACTATGCATTATATTTCTGAAGGAGCTGCTCATTTGTTCCACTGGGGAGGCTGGCATCACCCTCAGTCACTCGCCACCTAGGCGGTACTCAATTTAATCAGGGGGTAAAGACCTACATGACAATTAGCCAACCATGCGTTCACCATGTGCATATGCAACAATGTCGAATTAATTTGATGCAACACAACAGTTATAATTCCCTTTCAATAATTAATATAGCAGGATACATTCACACTGTATAAGAAATGAAAGCTATAGAACGTCCTTCAGTTAGAAAGACAGTATTGTAACGGAGCAGGGGCACCCTTAGATTTAATAAGTTTACTGAATGGCAAAAGATTTCAGATGAACTTTTCATAGATTCAGCCACAAAAAAGTGGTAGAAATACAGTCATCCATCAAAAACACAGAACATGAATGCCTCACTATTATTTTGCCGGAAAAGCAATTTTATTAATTGCCGAATCAGAGAAACTGACAAGTCAGCCAATATTAAAACAAAATTATAAAGTGACAGGCAATCAGACCTAAACAACAATAACGTTATTACGTCGCTTAATATCCATACCCTTATGATCAGTTCGTACTTTACTATCCACATAGAAAACCCGTATTTTGTTGTCCGTTTGACCAGTTGGCTATGTAACTAATCAATGTAGCTACCAAAATGGTGAACTGAATAACGCAGTAATGCTGTCAACGGAGGGGGGCATCCCTGCAGAAATCAACAAAACTCCAACTACCCTGTCTACTACCCTTCCAGTTTCCCAGGGCTTGGTTACGAGCTATGTGCAAAATTAACCACACGTAACACTGAGGTCAGCGTAAAACAATCATTCAGGACACCGAGTGTCATAACCATCGTACTGTCTAACACCATTGCACTGAATGACAGTAAGCTATCGAAATAACACACGTTTAGTGAGAATAACAAGACAGCTAAAGATAGTCACGAATAACCACGAATATTTGCGGTGGACAGATATAGCCTGAAATTAACATACCTCACATAACTCATGACTAAATGTATATTATAACGCAACTACTTAAACGAAACTAGCTTTAGAAGAGCCTATTTTAAGAAATCCTCCACTTTAATTTGACTAGCTACTCACTTTCGTCAGGCAACTGTTCCAGCTCCGCCATCTTGTATCCGCCGCGCCGCTTTTCAAAGGAGAAGGGTCCAATTGCAGTGAGGGGCGTTCTCATAAAAAGAGGAACGCCCCCGAAATGAACGCCCCTCGTCGTTCTCATTGGTTCTTCCGCCATTACGCTTAACGCTCATGCCCACACCAGGAAACAAATTTTGCCGGGGGCTGCCTACTTTGCTTATATGTATTAAAGCCGTTTTCTCGTGAGAGACGATGAATATAAATAGTTCTCTGCTGCTACTAATGCTTAACTTGGTTGAATATCGTTCGCATTATGATACCGCTACTAATGTTTCACTTAACTGTCTGTTTTAGACAGCGAATCCTCCAACCTCCTGCCCTACACATTTGTTTTCTACGTCAACAACCCTGATCCAATTATCAGTGTAGGACAAAATGTTTTGGGGTAAGAAATACCGATACAGGACAGGGGGTCACGAGGACAAGGGTTATGAACCCGTGATCCGCACATTTAAAAATAGGCAGGCTACTGCTTAGGTGCCAATTCCTGCTTCTGGAGCGCTGGAACATTATAATCAGGTGTGACAGATTACGGTTAGTCCTAAATGGTAAATTATTCTTTACCTACAAACACAACCAATAACTAAGTGTACTGTAGCTGACAAACAAGGCTACATACATCGTATGATTATACTGTAAAACAAGTATAGCTAAATATTCACAAGGCAATTGCAGAGACAAATTGGTTGTTTTAGCACTTTATTTACACACTTATTTACACATTCCTAGCACTCATCTTCTGATTCAGGAACACTGCAAGCACAGTACACAGGGATTGGCCTTTTCTCCCATACTTCTGTAATAAATAAGTTCATGTCGGACATATACTTAAAAATAAATTCAAACAGAGCCCGAAATCCCTCATATCCTCTCATCCACTAGATTCAGACAAAAAAGAATGAAGCGTTATTGCCTCAGGAGGGTCTGAATGCGTCCAAGGAATTTATCGCTGTTTTCCATGTACCAAGAATAGGGAAGATGAAAAGATGATGAAATGGGGAAGGGACAGTGTAAAAGATGACAAACTGCTGCAATACATCTCATTGGAAGTGGAGTATGTCCACTTGGAATGATTGACAAATGACGCTGAACGAGAAAGGAGGTAGTACTAACCTTAACATCATGTAAATATTTTACCAACACATTCAATTATTAAATCATCTTTAAAATGCGAGTTTTAATGTGAAAATTTGAAAAACCTCCACTTTTTATTGTAAAGAGCCATCTAGTTAAATGTGATGCACATCTTACAAAAAGCACGTTAGTAAATTAGATTTACTCACTCACAGTGCCACAAGATAATTGTTTCATATTGCTAAGATGCATGAGTCAGCGCTGCTTATCCCAGGTCCGACGATCTAATGTCTGCAGGGCGCTCGATCGCCAGGAACAGTGGGGGGCATGAACTAATTAGTTAATGTTAAGGTTTGAAGCCTGGTGCAACTAGCAGTCAGAACATCTCATTAACGTTACGGCTGCACAATTTTAGCGTTGCGACTTAACTTTGACAAAACACGCACTATGTTCTGTTGTTTATCGAGATTACACTAAGGCTTAAGGGAAAACACATTAAAAGTTACACGCAAACATAACTCGCCGATATGTACCACTCTTTATACAAAATATATTCGCGACTAATTTCTTCCATTGAGGTTGGCCAGTACTTCATTTCCAGATGCAAACATCACGGTGGGGGTGTACCTGTTTTACAGAAACACCCTCTTATGGCGGCTGCGGTGCATTATGGGACAGATACTGCGGTGCACCCTGGGACAGAGGTTGCAACTGGGAGGGATGTTTGAAAGTGATTGTTGGTTTTTGTTTCATTTATTTGTGGGGAATTATAATATAAAAGCATACAAAACGACGAAATGAAAAACAGTCTGGATATAGTGAAGCTCAATCGATACTGTGGAACGCAATCTGAAAAATAAGTAGCAATGTATAAAATAACGAAATCAAACAACGAACCTATTCGCTTGCTCACTGTCAGCAGTAAGCATTTGAGGTTCTTATCGAATGAAGTAAAACATTACTTATTTAGAGGCTCGAAATAAATAGCTGGGTCAACGACTGAAAAGCGCCACAGCAACTCTTCACAAATGTATTACTGGTTAAATGTCTAATACTATACAAAAATAACTTAAGGACAAATATGCATTTAAATACAAGATTTCAGTAGGTTAAAAAAAACAGAAAACTGCAATTACTTCTGATGCGTTGTATTATATCTTAAATAATTAATTTACACTGCACATCGCAACGCTCCCGAGTGTTAGTTGGAAACCTAATTTACTGAAATCACAACCTCATTGTCCCTTTGCTTGAAAGATAAAACACAAATGAAATCTTAAGTGGGTCTTCTGGGGATGAACAGCACGAACTTTCCATCACCAATTATAGCATGGTAAACAGGATGATATGCTTCAGGAAACAGAGTGGACAAAAGCTACTAGAGCTATTTTGGATACATCAAGTCATGAAAAAATAAAGTTTTTGTACTTTTAAAAACAACATCAGAATTTTATGCAAGATGTACTGTAGTTCTTACGTGGAAAAAAAACAATGCAATTTATAATGGGGCAAAAGACAGCTTTATTCTACCAGTGAGAGTGAAATAATTTTACAAAGTCTGTAACATTACAATCCCCAAAACACCTGAAAACTAACAGCGTTAGTCTTCATGAAGACAGAAAACAATATCAAAAATACAACTGAAGTCCTCATTTTGATCAATAAGTTTTTTTTTGTTTTCCCCTTAATAGCTATACTAGGAATTCTAGTAATGGTCATTAACAGTAAGCGAATGAGCCCTGCATGTGTTTTCTGAATATGGGCCCAAGCGAATGTCCACACCTTTCTTCAAAAATGAGCCGTTTTCCATAACCGTTCTTTGTACCCATATTGTGCAAGCGCTGTGTTGCCCAAAAACAAGATGCATTTTGCACTGGATACAAACGTTGCATATCCAAAATGAATATGAGTTTTGAATACCTCACCTATGACTTTGCATACTATTCTTACTTCTAACAATTTCTATTGTATTTTGAATTTGCAGAAATAATAGTGGGGAGGGGGGGGCATGGGGTAGTGGAAGAAGCTGGATCAGCTGCATCTTTATACTTACCTACCTGATATATGTCTTTTTTTGTTTGCTTACAACAGAGTTCAGCTTCCAATACTTGCTGCCCCCAGGACTGTTTAAACAGAACCACTTTCAAAAATTAATCTGCTTTCAGTGCAGGCCAGTCAAAGCTTTGAAGCACAAATTAAACTGAAAGACAAAAAAACTCCAAAGTGCTGAAATCTGATTTCGGTTTACGACACTACACAGCGTTTCGCTTATTTCAAACTACCGACATAAAGAGTGAGACGGGTATCGTTTGGACATCGGAGGCTCGTCAGCTGAAGGACGTCCGCTCTGCGAGATGGTGGCCAGGAGCCTCCCTAAGACATTGCCGATTCGTCAGATCTGACAGCCTCACCACAGCGACGTCTGGTAGTTGAACTTTATCTTCAGCAGGTATTTGAGATAAACCTGTGCCACATCATATACAATGTATCTAGAGAAAAGGGGAGGTTAAGGAATACCGAATAATCCTCTGTGGAAGATCATCATCATCAACCTTACTCATCAGCTTCACAATGTGTACTTTCCATACTGTAAGATGTGCACTACATCATAGAGCTTACAACGTACCAGTATTCACACTACTGATCTGGTTCATTAATACTATCCCTCACTCCATTGTGTTACTCTGCGAATTACCAAACCCGATTACCTGGCCCAGGCATGCAGGGTGTGGAACAAACTAAAAATGTGGTCGGGCCTGGAAACAATGATACATATAATACACATAATTTAGTTCATTTTGCCCCATTAAAATTATTTGGTAAAATATTTGTTAAATCAGCCAGTCTGGCAACGATACAACTGTAGACAAATATCATACAACAAAAGGATCAGCATTTAGTAAGGACTATGCTGGTTTCTCACCCCCTGTGTAAAATGAAACATTTGAGAAAGTGGGCAAGGAATTTCACTGGCCAATATGGAACCTTCCTTGGGGTCTATCTGATAGAACTCAGTGGGAGTAGTACTGGCCTTCCATGTAGAGAAAAGGATACTCATTGTAGAGCAGGCTCGTGTCGTCGATATTGGTGTTGACGCCTTTACCCAAGGGCACCTGCACGCCATCCAAAAACACAGAAGCACTGGGATCTGGGGCAGTTCTTCCCAGACCTGCACAGGAGGAGCAGAAAAGCAGCCATTTTGTTAGCCAAAAAGCAAACAGCATTCTAAACTAGATTAAACTAGCACACATCTGCAGATCACATTGTGGGATCAGCTGTGTAGTGTAAGATCTTTACCTTTCACGCTGTGCTTGCCCTTTGGTAGTTTTGTAATGTGCGAAGCTTTCTTCAGTTCATGCCTGTGAAAAGATAAGGCATTATACACTCAGTCACACACTCACCATAACATGTTTTCAACATGCAAAGAAACCCAGAACAGAATACAAATCATTAAAAAAAAATTACACCTATCACGATCAAGCAGTTAAACTGAGGATTTTTCAGTAATAGCTTCGCTGAACGCAAGTGAATGAGATGAAACAGAAGTCTTAACACGAAAATAAGACTGATAATGGGATTGTTATAAAGGCTGCGAGAGACAATATTTCAGCTCATGCTGTGAAGAAAATATTCCTGCGATTATGCTGTAATTAAATAACATGAGAATTGCATCCAGACTGACTACCACCGAAAAAACAGAAAACCACTACATGTCCTGTACTTGGAACATCAACTGAGAATCAGCTTTCATATCTTGATAGCTTCCGAAATTAACTGTGTGGCCCAATGAGCCAAGACATAAAACATGCATTTAAAACTCCATCTTGCTTTACAATAAAATTTAATACTACTACTGAAGTTTACTGTTTTTTTTTTAAAGAGACACTCACATGTTGCCAAGGGCGACCTCTGCTAGCAGAATGAGACCCACAGGGTTGGACTGGGAGGTGTGACAGTAGTTGGCGCTCTTGGACACCATGTCAGCGAAGTACACGCCTTTGCCGAACATGTAACCTGTCTGGAATTTCCCACGAAAAGAGCACAAACACACAAAAACAATTTAAGCCACCGAGTCACAGTTTGACTAGGTCTGTTTACACGTTAGAAAGAATGCTAATAGGCTTCAGTGCTATGGGAGTCGTGGGATTATAGTGCGTCGTCACTCACCACTGGGGCTTCTGGGGGTGCAATGCGCAAACCCTGAGACAGAATGCCAGCGTAGTTGGTGGTGCGGGAGCCGTGCCACAGCAGCTGCCGATTGGGCAGATCCTGGAAGGGCCGGTAACGCTGGTACTCGCCGTCCCTTACCACTCTGAAGATCTGTAAGAGGCAGACAGTTACCCTGGAGTCATAGGGCCCCCATTCCTCCCAAAAACGCTATTTAATAACACAACACATTCTCGATTCCCTCCAGCTGTTTAAATTAAAATCAATATAATTAAAATAAATCATGACCACTTCGTACAGTTAATACGGTAGTACATCAAAAAACCC